TTGAGTTTTTAATTTTTGAATTGATATATTTATAAACATATTATTGTTATTGAGTTTTTAGTTATTTATATATATATATATATATATATATAATATTTTATGTTTTTGTATAAATTGTCGCTTCACATCAAAAAGGCGAGCGCTTCGCTGCGCGCCTCTCGCCTCAGTGAAGCGGGCCCTCGTCCCTATTTGTCGCCGCACGCTATCCAAAACACTGGGGTATAGAAATTGTACTTTTCATGTTATACTTGGATTGATCCTGCATGTCGAATAGATTAATATGGAGGTTATGATTTTTAGGTTTTATCCTGTATTCACACAGCAGTAGATTGAAGACTTCAAGTTGCATTTGGTTGGTGCTTCTAAGAATGCTTAATTATCCACCGCCAATGGCTCTTATTCGCCTATTTTTTGACTGTCTATGGCTGCCACTCCCTATTTCCTCCATATCAAGTTTAGTTGGTGTTCCTGCTCTTCTCCAGATATTTTTCACTTAAAACAATACTATACAATTGAAATTGGATTTCATCATCTATTTCTTTTGCTTTCAACAAGATATCTAGGTACAATGCTCCTCTAGATACTCGACTAGTCATAATCATGTACACATGCTTTTATTATGGAATTCAGATTAAGGAGATCGGCGAGAGTAATAAACCTTCAGATTCAATCAAGGGATCTGAGCAAGCTGCTGAGAAAAAGAAAAGCTTTGTTGATTTGATGAAGTTGATGAGGCCACTCAATGAAGAGAAAGATTTCTGGGTTAGATTTAATGATTTATGATCATTTGTTGCATTAATTTAGTGTTCGTGGTTTCCATCTATTTCTGTTGAATCAACTACTGAAAGTAACTCTTAACAAATTCTTGGCTCTCTTTTGCCTAATATTCTGTACAGGTTCCTGATGAAGCAGTTCGCAAGTGCACTGGTTGCGGGACAGATTTTAGTGCTTTCAATAGAAAGGTGCACATTATTTTGAACAGTGGTGTAAATGTCATATTTTTGTATTGCCTGTTTTAACTTTTTAAATCTTGTATGTCTTCTTTAAATCTGTGCCAGCACCACTGCAGGAATTGTGGGGATATTTTCTGTGACAAGTGCACGCAAGGTAGAGTTGCTCTCACTGCCGATGAAGATGCACTGCCAGTTCGAGTTTGTGACCGATGCATGGTATGCCCATGTAAAATAAGGGTTAATTACAGGTTTATTGTTTTCTTTTATTAAGATGTTAAATGTGACTTTAATTGTCAATCTGAGATGGTCTGAAGCAACACATGTGCAAAGCTTAGTGTCGGGGAACATGTACAATTAGTTGTACAAATTAGCCACGAACTGGATCTGATAGTGTGATGTGATAGGAGAACAAATTGAATGAAGAGGAACCGCGAAAACTTGTGGACTAGGTGTAGGTGACAATGCTTTTGGGAAAAGGGGACATAAGGAAATCAAGGAATTCAATGGAGCTCATTGTCTCATGTTTTGGGGGATAAAGAAAGATATTGGAGATCTAATGCTTCAACTACATAGTTCAGCTCATTAAAGAAATGGAGCAAGATAAAAGCACTGCAAGTGTTCCATCTATTTAGAAACGTCAGAGAACTTAGTTTGTAATTATTCTGAACAGAAAGCTGCTCTTGCTTATTAAAGATACTACCACCTGGGAACTTTCATTGGTGACATACGATCACATGTTACCCTAGGAGTATTAGTTATTTGCTTTTTCATTATTGTATCTTCTATCATCTGGCTAAAGAATAAGACAATTCCCGAAAGAGGGGTTAAACCTTTTAACAATATAATGATGTTCTGGATCTTAATATCTGATGGAGTGATGGTTACTGTATTCGAGAGCTTTTCCAGTCTTTCATGACAGTGCCTTCCAATGTTTTATGTTCTTTTATCTGTTATTCTGTTCAACATGTTGATCTTCCGTAAGCATACTTTTGTGATCTTATATATCAGAATAGTCTTGAAGCAGTACTTTCACAAGATGTAACAAAAAATGAACTTTCCTCATTTTGCAGGCAGAGGTAACTCAGAGACTCAGCAATTCAAAGGAAGCAATGGCGAAAGTTGCTCCATTACGAAGTCATGAGGACCTTACAAGAAAACTCAAGGTGACTACTGACTTACGAGATTCTTTAAATTATTCATCATTACTGTGTAAAATTGTTTTGTTTATATAGGTTATTGGAAGTGTATCTTGAAAATTAATACTGATTAGCTTATGTCCACAATTATGAAAGTTATATTACTTTTAAGATTTGAAGTGTGGATAAACAATTCCTATCTCAAAAAAACTATGGATAAGAATTTTGAGATGAACTGTTGGATAAGTGAATTGGAGAGAGAAGACATAAGAAACAGAAAGTAATAATCTCTATTTTAAATTTGTGATGTGCTTTATAAAGCTTCTGGTTTGGGTTGGCATAATTTTTATCAATGGATTATAAAGTATCTTTGCTGTAATGTTAAATTTTCCTTCTATACTTAGCCAGTGTCTCCCTACTTTAAATTTTGTTATTTCATCAACATATACTAATTTCTATTGTTGAAATTCATAAACAGGAGGAGATGGACAAGAAGCGCAAGACCTCAGGAGGTAGTATCCATGGTTGAAACAGTTTCTTATTTAATTCGCTTCAACATACACATACGTTTCTGATTGCCATCTGGAATTGGCACACAAATTTTTCTATGGTTACTACAAGTTGGAGAATTTTTTCCCTTGGAGCTGATGGGGTCTATCATTTTCAGGACTTAGTTCTCAAGGATCTAGGGGGATGAGAGAAGTGGAATGTCCAACTTGCACGGTCCATTTGCAGGTTCAGTACCATAGACCATGCTTTTCTCCCCTGTTCTTATGTTTGTGCCTGTTCCTGAAAACCTTTTTGATACTATTAACCCCAAGAATATCCTGTACCTGTGGATGTATTTTATATGGATTTGAGTTTGCAGGTTGAAGTGGCAGCTTCTGGATCAGAAACGATTGAGTGCAGCGTCTGCCAGCATCCATTCCTTGTTAATGCTCATTGATCTGCAGAGTTTCCTTTGATAATATTTCTGTACTAAAAGCCATTTTGATTGTCCTTTAACTTATACCCACAGTTCTCAAAGAGTATCACGGTCTTTTCTGAGTGATACTGGTATTATGCTCTTTTTCCATAATGTAGATATATGTACATTGTGGAGGTGGTTGTTATTGTGAGAACTCAATTTATAGAAGTGCAAAATTTCTTCCAAAAAATGGATAAGGCATAAGATTTATTCTTTTTAGGTGTCTTTTTCTGTTCCTTAAAGAAAGAGAGTCCTAATAGATTAAAAACTCGGACAAATCCTAACAATTCTCCCCCTGGCCTGAATTTTCTTGATAAAATTGGATCCACTTTCTTCATATAATTTTCATCACCGATGCTTGGCATGATTAAAAATAGGCATAGGTTGAAAAATCTTGGTATTAGTTGAAAGAAGCCCAAGAATGAGTTAAAAGGAGCCCACTCATTAAGAATAAGTATCAGTTAAGACTAACATTGGTTAAAAAGAGCCCAAATATGGGTTTAAAAGAGTTTATTTCTATAAAAAAATGCAGCAATAAGGGTTTTGAATATTTGTGATTGTAATTTATCTCCACACATAGCATCACGTTCAAACTTTTTTGGATAAATCTTCATTATCGTCAAATTAGTTGTGGCTTAATTTGAATCTGCCTGAATTTGTCTTCGATCTCGCTTCGAACCATTGGCTCTGATACCACTTGTTGGGATCGAAATAACATGGTGTATGCAGAAACTAACAATGCAAACCTTTGAGACGATAAATCAGACGACAAAGAAAAACATACTAAACTAGGCATAATAATTTATTATGATTTGGTCAATCGACTTACATATGATTCATTACTAATATAAAAAGAGAAAATAATTTTTTTTGAGAGAATAGATGCTACATTGTGGAGGTTGTTGTTGTTAGAAGCAAAGATCTTCAATTTATAGATGTGCAAAATTTGTCTTCCAAATAAAAGGATATAATATAAGATTTATTCTTTTAGGAGTCTTTTTTTCAAGAAAAAGAGTCCTAATAAATTAAAAATTCAGGACAAAATCCTAACAGTTAAATCATCCGATCTGGTGATAGTTGCCGCGAGGGGCATAAACTAAATTATTAATTGTACAATTCATATTTTTCCTTGTAATCTTTTCAACTCTCTACACTTGGATCGATCATTGGCTATAGATATTGGTAGCTTTTATGAGTAGCATGGATACTCAATGGCATGAAGTTCAGATAGATCAAGACTCTAAACCCTCAATTGACTAGCTGGAAGAACAATACCTCAGCCAAGAACTCCAACCAAAAAAGAGAAAAAATAAATAAATAAGAATGGATAATAAGATCCAAACATATATGTTATAGGTCCTTATGATTTCCCTTAGGCATTCCCCTTAAGCATTCCCTTATGAGTAGTATGGATACTCAATGGCATGAAGTTCAGATAGATCAAGACTCTAAGCCCTCAATTAACTAGCCGGAAGAAAAATACCTAAGCCAAGAACTCGAACCAAAAAAGAGAAAAACATAAATAAATAGGAATGGATAGTAAGATCCAAACATATATGTTATAGGTCCTAATGATTTCCCTTAGGCATACTGACATGCTATGGAAATAGTAAATATTGTGACCTATTCCAATTCCAGAGGGGTCTATTAAAGAGTTTAACTCCTAGTTGGGTTGTACACAACGAGAAATTTCAGTGGTTTTCTATTTTCTTCACAAAATTTGACTCAATTACTGCTATATATGTCAAGAATTGCCTGGGTGGTGGGTTAAGGTTTAAAAAAAATGCTCTTAGGCACTTTCTTCGAGACTCTTCTCTCTCCTACTTCCTAGGACTGCAGAACAACCTATTCCGACATCGTTTAGTACCGGAAAATTCATCTTTCCTTCCTACACCCTGTTTTCACCCACTGTGATTACTGATATACTAACCTTTTCTTTAATATTCTCTTAAACACAATTTATTTCTTATGGGGAAAACAAAATTTATTTAACACTGGTTTTAAATCTTTTGATATCACGAGATGGACCTCCAACAATGGTACATGGTTCGATTGGGTGGAGAGAAGTCGCAATATGATGAGACGCTCCACGTTAAGCAAAAAGACTATGGAATGAGTCTGTAATGTACTCAAAGAAGCCTCTAATGACCAGAAGAATGTGGTACGGAGATGGAAGAATAAGGACAGGCGAACCGAATATTTTTGTACTAGGAAGTACAATGACCATAAGAGATATACAAGTATATTGTCACTGAAAAGAGGCAATCGTGAGGTTATTATAATCCCTGAACTTGCTTTGAATGCAGGATGGGGAGACATTGCATTTAAGATAAAAAGGTTTATTAAATGCTCCTCCCAACTTAATTTCACAAGGCCACCCAGACTTTCTGAAGCAATCTACATTTATGCCAAAGCAGTACAAGAGAGTAAATGGCAATCAAACAACCTTCATGAAGCAGTAGTCAGCACTAATAAAGGAGGTATCACGATCTTGGAGCCAAATGGGATGAAGGATAACGGACTTTTGACAAGATGTATCATTGGGTACTTTGGAAGGAAACAACTTAGAGACGTACACTATCAAACATTCGAAGATGGGCCTGTATAACGTAAAAAACAGCATTTGGAATGAACATGTATGAGATGACTGGAAATCGTTTTCTGTTTCATTTCCCTAACAGAAACATGGTTGAGCAGATTCTCCAAGGAGAATGGAGGTGGAAGAAATTCAAGCTTTATCTCGAATGGTGGAACCCCATCACCGATTGTCTTTCTAACTCCATATCTGTCAAAACTACCTGGATCAAAGCCATGGGAGTTCCCCTACATTTGTGGTCACATAAGATATTCAAAGAAATAGGAGATCTTTATGGTGGGTGGAAAGCTACAGAAGAAGAGATAGAACTCAAAAACCATCTCAAGTGAGCAAAACTTCAAGTAGCAGGAGATGGTCAGAATATACCAAATGAGGTAGTCATTGAGAGAGAGGGGGTCAAATTCTTCATACAGATAGGGGCTGAAAGGAACACCCGCTTTGAATAGGGCCGAAGATTTCCAGGGAGATTACCAGAGATGACATAGGATCGAAGCCTCTGAAGGGCCGCCAGACAAAAATAACCTACGAGGTAGAAGGGGTACAGGATAGCCTTTTAACTGTAGATGGGACGGATAAGGACCACGTGGGGTGTACTGAGTTTATTGACAAAAGTAAGGGAAAGGCACGTGCAATGTAGGAGGATGATTTGGGAGAAGTAACATTATTTTTGGGCCAATCCACTTAGCCCAGCAATGGGCCAACTATTAAAAATACACTTGGGCCTGACTGTGCAGCCCAAGTCATTTTTAATGAATTATATCTGGAGCCCACATAGATCATAAGGTTTGACTTTTTTCTAGAAGAGACGAGAGCTGTTTTGCATTCACAACAAGAAGCCAACAGAAAACCAACAGAGGTCCTTTGACGTAGTTGCAAACTTGGGGAGTTCACCACATGCAAAGATGTTAATGCTAGAGGAGCCTAGAGAATAAGAAGGGAAAGGGTTACAAGGGATGAAGGCAGACGATGCTCTGACACTAATCGTAATTGGGGAACCTCATCTTATTTCTGAAATTGAGTGTACGAATCAACTACACCTCAATTCCAGTGGAGAAAATTGGAAAATGGTGTATGCTGAACCTATTCTGGTTCAACATCAGGAGTCTTTTCTGGAGAAAGAATTGGATATGACCTTATGGGTTCATCAGGATTTGCTCAAACTGAGCAAAAATGTTTGGGGTAGATTTTCAGGGACATGAAGAAGAAGCTTTGGAATTACTTCTGCAGATAGATTGCTGTAGACAGGCTAGAAGGATGGTGCCAGAACTGGACATCAATAAAATCAGATTCAAAGGGGCACACGAGCTAAAATGTTTGGTCTCCTTTGATGTTAAATTCCAGAGCAACGGGAAAAGATTTAGGGGAAAAATCCCGACACTAGTTGATCAATGAAGCTCAAACTAGTTTCATGGAATGTGAGAGGATTTAATAATTTGGCTAAAAGAAGGATAGTAAAGAGTTTAGTTCAACTCTAGAACACAGATATTATCTGTTTTCAGGAGACTAAACTTGAGGGGAAAATACAAGAGCTTGTTAAGCAGATTTGGGGAGGGCGATGGGTGAGGTTTTCTTGTCTGGAGTCTAGTGGTACTAGAGGGGATATTATGATGTTATGGGATTTTAGAATCTGGAAAGCGGATGTCGTTCAAATTGGAGCTATACACTCACATGCAAATTTGAGGCACTCTGGCAGAACTTTGAATGTCACATAACATGGGTGTATGCCCCAAACTGTAATATTGAGAGGAGGAAAGTTTGGTGGGAGATATGAGTTGTGAAGGGTTTGATGGAGGGTCCATGGGCTGTTTGTGGAGATTTTAACGTTACTAGATTTCCTTCTGAGAAAAGGAACTGCAATAGGAGATCTAGATCTATGGTGGAATTTTCAGATTTTATAAATGATATGAATATAATTGATCTATCACTAGAAGGAGGTGTCTACACCTGGTTCAAAGGGGAAAACCAAATAATCTCCTCCATAATTGATAGAATCCTGATCTCTGAAGAATGTGATGACAGTTTTAGGAACGTCAAACAATACCTCCTCCAAAGACTAATCTCAGACCATGTTCCTGTGTCTTTACAATGTGGTTCTTGGGAGCACACCAAATCATTCTTTAAATTTGCTAACTGGTAGTTGAACACAAAAGGCTTCATAGATAGAATCAAAGAATGTTAGACATCTTTTGAATTTTCAGGGAGGCCAGATTTTATCTTAGCTTGTAAAATGAAAGCACTTAAATGGAAGCTGAAGTAATGGAGTAGAAGCAGCCATGGGAATATGGGATTGCAAAAGATCAACCTACTTAATCAATTGCAGTGTTGGACTCTACTCTGCAAACTAGAGCTCTAACAGAAGAGGAATCAGTGAAGAAGACCTCTCTTTTCAAGGAATGTGAGGAACACCTGAAAAATGAAGAAATTGCATGGAGGAAAAGATCCATAGCTCTTTGGCTTAAGGAGGGGGACATGAATACAAGTTTCTTCCATAAAATTACTAATGCACATAAGAGAAGTCATAATATTGATCAGTTAGTGATCCAGGAAGAAATAATTGTAGAGCCATAAAGAATCAAGACTGAGATCATTGACTT